GCATAGGGTCGCTATGAGTTGCAAATGACTCGACGGCACATAACAATAACAACAACATAGTGTACTGTAGTATATATCAAAATTTTACTTTGCTTTGTGGCTGAATGGTGGGTGCGTGGTAAGGAATTGCACTATCAATTCAAAGGTGATGGTTGTTGTTGTTGTTGTTGTTGTTATGTGGCGTCAAATCGCTTGTGACTCATAGCGACCCTATGTACAACAGCTCTAAACTCTGCTCTGTCCTGTGCCAGTCTCATTGTCTCCAACACACTCATCCCGATTTCCCCAGTCATCGAATCAATCTACCTCCCAGAGGGCCTTCCCCTCCTGCGCCTTCACCCTCCCAAGCATGATGTCCTTCTCCAAGGACTGGTCTCTCCTTACAACATGACCAAAGTATGTTAGGCGAAGCCTCAGAATCCTTGCCTCCAAGGAGCAGCCCGGTTCAACCCTCTCCAAGATGAATCTGTTTGTTTTCTTAGCAGTCCATGGTACCTTCAACACTTCTCCAACACCAAAGCTCAAAAGCATCAATTCTCCTTCTATCCTCCCTGGTCATTGTCCAGCTCTCTGACACATAACAAGTGATTGCAAAGACCATGGCCTGTACCAGACTCACCTTAGTCTCCAGAGACACACCGTTGCTCGTCAGTACTTTACAGAGGTCCCTAACAGCAGACTTTCCCATCGCAATATGTCTTCTAACTTTCTGGCTGCTGGTGCCAAGAATGTTGATTGTGGAGCAAAGCAGACTAAAGCTATGAACAATCTTAAATCCCATTAGAAAGAAAGGTGACCCAATAGAGTGTGGAAACTATAGAACAATATCGTTGATTTCACATGCAAGCAAGATTCTGCTGAAGATTATCCAAAAATGACTGGAACAGCACATCAGCCGAGAACTGCCAGAAGTCCAGGCTGGGATTAGAAGAGGTCGTGGTACTAGGGATATTGTAGCTGATGTTAGATGGATCTTGGCTGAAAGCAGAGAATACCAGAGGAATGTCTATCTGTGCTTCATTGATTATGCAAAGGTATATGACTGTGTGGATCATAACAAACTGTGGCTGACTCTGAGAAGAATGGGAATCCCAGAACACTGATCGTACTAATGCGAAACTTATACTTGAACCAAGAGGCAGTCCTCAGAACAGAGCAAGGAAAC